TTGGGGTTTTAGGGTTTGGAGTTTTGGACGGGGATAGCTCGGGCTCTCGGATCTTTTGAGGCACCTTTTGTGGCAGGGGCAGGGTTTGGGGTTTCTTGCTCAGGGTCCTCCCCTCTAGGGCTAGGGGGCAGGTTTCGCTTCTGTGGCTTAAGATCTGTTCTAGGTTAAAGGAAACTACAGGTGGGGAGTTTAGGGTATATAGGGCTTCTATAGGCTTCCATAAGGTTTATAGACCTTCTATAAGGCTCCTACCCACCTGAAAATGTCCTAGACTAGGGTCTGCTCTCAACGGGGGAATGAGACCCTAAACCCTAAACCCTAAACCGCCCCGAAATCCCCCGAGAAGTCTAAGACCCTTACCGGGTCCAAAGTCCGAGGAGCCAAAATAACCGGAGCCTGAGATGTGGCTACCTCCTAAACCCAAAGTCCTTTTCGGACCGGGAGTTGGAGTGGACCCGTTACGCTCGGCCAGGCCTCCAAAAAACGGGGACCATCACTGCCATTCCAGTTTGAAGCCGCTCTAACATGCTAAACCCTAGGAAGACAGAGAAATCGTGAGTTCGCTGTCACTGCTGCACTGAAATCCCAACCGGTCAGCCCCACATGCCTCCTCCTGAAAGCAGATTTGTTTGGACTTTCTTAGGGTTTAGATTCGGTGTAGTTTGCAATCGCCTTGAAAGGAAACTAGCAGCAGTGTATAGACACGCTTGGAAGGGTAGGTACTCGGCGGCTCCCATCCACAAAGCTCGTCGAAACGCGCTACAAGAACTACATGGGTGGTTGTCAAAATTATGGTCCCTTTTTGGGTCCTTATTACAATACGGCACCTATCATTTAGGGTACCCCAAAAGGGACCCTAATTTTGACAACTACCCACAGGCTAAACTGAACCCTGAGACTCTCTGCGGAAAGCACGCAAGCTGCCCTGCAGCATCCCTAAACACGAAAACCCGGAAATCTCTGCAGAATAAACCCTATAAGCCGTCTAAGCCTACCTTAAGAACCCAAAACCTACTTTTTTGTAGGGCCCCTATAAATCCCATATCAGGGTTTATAATAAGAACCTACAAAAAAGTGGGTTTGGGGTTCTTAAGGTATACAGCCTATCCTAACTAACCCTAAACCTAAACCCTGCACCCAAACCCTAAACCCTAAACCCTAAACCCTAAACCCTGCACTCTAGACCGCAATCAGGGCACCCACTGCGCACCTCGGCTGCTTGCAGCTTCGCGGAGGAAACGGATTTGGTGTGTCAAACTTGTTTCGGTGCCGGAAACCCACAAAACCCAAACCCTAAACCCCAAACCCTATACCCAAACCCTAAACCAATACCAAGAGCTAGACTGAAAAAAAAATCACCCCGAGCCCCAAGCCAGGCACATTGATGCCAAAGAAAGCAAAGAAGAGAGCGACTAGAGTAGCGGCTTCAGAAGGTTCAAGGTTGCCGTCTCTACTCACAGGTAGCAATTAGTAACATAATAGGGTTTAGGGTTTATTAGGGTTTAGGGTTTAGGGTGTACCACGATTTTAGTACGTATTTTTTCGTGTTGGCAGTTTAGGCACGCCATACAAGATATGAGCTTCCTTGCGAAGCAAAAGGTCCTCTCAAGGCCTCTGCACGATGCAGTACACAGCAAGGCTGCCAAGCCCTTTAATGGAAATCCGAACAAGATCCTAAACCCTAAACCCTAAACCCTAAATCCTAAACCCTGAACCCTGAACCCTAAACCCTAAATCCTAAATCCTAAACCCTAAACCCTAAATCCCATAGCTGAAGCCAAGCTGCTTCAGAGCAGTGCTGCTCGAATCAGAGACTCCCCAGAACCTGGGATGGATACTTCGCCGCTCCAGGGTTTCAGGTTGCTTGGGTTTAGGGTTTAGGGTTTAGGGTTTAGGGCTTCGCCGCTCCAGGGTTTCAGGTTTAGGGTTTGTAGGGGTTTGGGGGTTTAGCGTTTAGGGTTTGTAGGGTTTGGAGGGTTTAGGGGTTTAGGGTTTGTAGGGTTTGGGGGTTTAGGGTTTAAGGTTTATAGGGTTTGGGGGTTTAGGGTTTAGGGTTTATAGGGTTTGGGGGTTTAGGGTTTAGGGAGTAAGGTTTAGGGTTTAGGGTTTCCTCCAAAAGCCGGGAACCAAGACCATTCGCTGAAAAGCGTGAGCGTTTTCACAGGGATTTCCGGAGAACAGCGTTGCTGAACCCGATCAAGGACTAAACGTCCTAGGACCCAATTCTAAAGCCATACGGTTTAGGTTCTAGGGTTTTAGGGTTTAGGGTTTAGCGTTAAGGGGCATAGGCCCTAAACCCGGCACTAACACCCACGATTTTGTGGCTCCTCTTTGGCGACCTAAGCCGCATCCTCGGAGTAGCCTTGTCCCATGAACCTGTTTCTGGCTGAATCTGCAGTCCTTCACGACGAGCCCGCACCAAGACAATGGCGTCCGAAGTCCGACATCCATCACCCGAGCCCCAATCATTCGGGATTCGTATTTCCAGTCCTGCCTCCGTCCTTATACATATGTGATAGATATAAAAAAACAACAAAATAAGAATATCTCATGTTAAATATGAGGATTATTGGGGGATGTCCCAGGCTTGCCTAAACACTCAACCCGAAATCTGAAACCCTAAACCCTAAACCCTCAACCCGAAATCCTGAACCCTAAACCCTAAACCCTAATCCTCAAGCCTAGGCCCCTAAACCCCTAAACCCTAAACCCTACATCCTATAAACCCTACCTATAGTCTCCGTTGTAGTTCCTTTTTGGGGATACCTTATAAAATCCTTCATATATTATATTTGGTTAAACCAAAAAAAGGAACTACAATGGAGACTACAGGTACATCCTAAACCCTAAACCCTAAATCAGCCCTCCCGAGCTTCCAAGGGGCTCCAGTCCTTGCTTGCAGCGCTCCGCAACTTCGGCAGAGATCAAATGCCTGCCTTGGCTATGCATTTGGTTTTACGGGTAGTTCTCTAACTTAGGGTCCCTTTGAGGGTCCTTTTCATAAGGGTTCCATACTATGTTGGGGACCTAAAAAAGGATCCTATTTTAGAGAACTACCCATATCGGCTATCGGGTTTAGGGTTTAGAGTTTAGGGCTTAGGGGCAATACCCGGGCCTTGGTCGTTAGAATAGGCTTTTGCGGCAAAACATACTAGAAACATACGAAGGAACCACCAAAACAGCCTTGGCAATTATTTAGGGTCCTATCCTTTTGGTGGGTTTGGGGTGGCAATTCGGGAGTAAACCCTAAACCCTAAACCCTGAACCCTGAATCCTAAACCCCAAACCCTAAACCCTGAACCCTGAATCCTAAACCCTAAACCCTAAACCTTAGCAGTCCCTAGCCTTCAAATTAAGCCCTGAGCTCGAGCACCTTGAGCCCCGGAACCAGAACATCTAAACACTCCGAGCCCCAGCTCTGAAACCCAACAGTCCTAATTTTAGGGTTTAGGGTTTAGGGTTTAGGGTTTAAGGTTTAGGGTTTAGGGTTTAGGGTTTAGGGTTTAAGGTTTAGGGTGTAGGGTTTAGGGTTTAGGGGCTTTAACCAACTAGTGGAATAGGGTTGTTTTGGGTGGGTCTATGATACTCTCTTTATGATAAGGAGCCCCCAAAACCCTATTCTATGATACTATACTTATTATAAGGAACCCCAAACCCAAAAACCCTCTTCTAGTTATTAAGGCCCCCATCAAACCTTGACATCCTGAAGGCCGGGACCCGGTGCCAACCAGGCAGGCAAGCGGCTCAATGGGCCTTCCAGATCATGCTCGAAGCTGCAAGCAACTTCCTCAGTGGACATGGGTAGTTCTCTAAATTAGGGTCCCGTTTTAGGCCCCCCAAAATAGTACGGCACCCTTGTAAAGAGGAACCCCAAAAAGGACCCTAATTTGGAGAACTACCCATGGAAATGTGGGTGTTGAGTTTCTAGGGCTGCAGGATAAAAAACTTCGGGGGTAGGGTGTTGGGGTTAGGTTCGCGTTTAAGTATCATCGACAGAGCAACTTTGAATCTGTAGCCGGGCTAATGAACGGATCTCTGCAAACGGGTATGCTCTGCCGCTGTTCCTAAACCCTAAACCGATTTCAGAACTCCATGTACTGCTCACTTCATGCAACTGCTAAACCATGCAAAAAGAAGCAACTCGGATAAAGCAACCACGCTTGTAGCTTAAGCCTCCAGTTATGAGTACTGATAACCAAAATCGTGCTCACAATAATTGCCCTGGTCCTTGATAGACCCCGAACCATTGAAAGTTTAGCTCCACACCTTTCCCATGAGAATTTGACTGGTGTTGAAGGCTTAAAGACTGGAAAGGATGGATCGTTCGGCTCTCCAAACACCTAAACCCTAAACTATAAACCTTGAGGTTGAGTTTGTCTGAAGCTTCTACTTGGGGATCTAGAGCGTCGGGATTAGGGAAGCCTGAAACTAACTAACATGAACTTATCACATCGGCCCGAAACCCTGAATTCCAAGTCTTCAGCTCTTGAGCGAAATCCGAAACCCGAACCCTGAGCCCTGCATCCCAGGCTCAAGGTTTAGGGGTCAGGGTTTAGGGTTTCGGGTTGAGGGGTTTAGGGTTTAGTGTTGAGGGGTTTGCGGTTTAGGGTTGAGGGGTTTAGGGTTTAGGGGTTTAAGGTTTCGGGTTTAGGGGTTCCAGCCCAGCAGCCACCTTCTTGCCTCTCCACTCCGTCTCCCGAGGGCGCCCCTCGCTGGCAGTGAGCCAAAATGCTTCAGGAGCCTCCTCGAGGACTTGCTCCAACCTGGGATGTTTTCTTCTTCGTTTTAGGTGCCCTTCTAGGGGCTTCGGGTTGAGGTTTTACCCTAAACCCTGAGGGTTTAGGATGCTTGAGCTCTAGGGCTCAGCGTTTTTGGGGGTTTACGGGGTTATTTGTGCTGGGCGCTTGGGGTTCGAATCATGATCTACGGCGAATCTACTGTCGGGTTTATAGGCTTTAGGGTTTAAGGGCTTGGGGTATAGGGGTTCAAGGCGTAGGTTTCAGGGCTTATCTTTGTGGAAGCCGTGGGAACGACTCGTCGGCTCTACTCCCCGGAGCTTAGGCCTTACCCACAGGCCCTAAAGTAGTTCCTTGTTTGGGTTCATATATAGAATCCTATAAGGGAATCCGAAAAGGGAACTACTATGGGGCCTATGGGTAGGTTCCTATAGTGTTCAGAAATTTGTGTCTTGCGAACTACGATACCGGGTTTCGCGCCTAGGGTTCAGAGCTTTTTGCGTTTAGGTTTAGGGATTAGGGTTTAGGGTTTAGGGTTAGCCTTGAGGGCTTTAGGGAGCCGAGGCCTCCTCCCCCCCCCACCCCGGCAGCAAGAGGCCTGAAGTCATCGTAGGTTCAAGCCATTAGAGATCCGACAGCCCCTGACTTACTACTTGCTTCAACATTCCAAGGGAAATCTGAAGTTAGACTTGCAGAAGAATCCGAACTTATCACAACCCCAAAATGTAAACAGCAACTGGCGCTGAAGAATCAACCACAAGGAACCAAGCTGAAACTCTTCTACCTTCCAACCAGGCCCAGTAACTTGCGGCATAGTGCGTCCTCGTCGGTGTCATGGTCGCGGATGCAACCTGTCTCTGCCCAAAGGGGTGGCGCAGGGTGTGTGCGTCGAAAGTTCCCATGTTGAAAATCCGTAGTTACTACTGTTGCTCCACAACTCTCCCTAAACCCTAAACCCTAAACCCTAATCTCAGCCCTCTGTCGTAAGCCCCGATCTAAACCTCAAGCTGCAATGGGAGCGGACAGGGCAAGCCACCGTAAGAGTTGCAATGGACAAGCTTCCCGGTCCCGTTCACCTGCCGCAGCAGGGGGGTACAGAGCCCAAAGGATGGCTTCTGGAGCTCAAAGGTTGGGTTTTGGAGCTCAAAGGGGATTCGGCAATTGCATCATGGGCTTTAAGGATCAGGAAAAGGGGTCACTGTAGACATCTTTGTGATGAGATGCGGCTATTCCAGCCCGATCTGATGTTGGTCTGCTTCCGTTCGCCATGCAGCCCCTTTCCGGCATTCTCGATCTTGTCACGAATGCCTGGCCTTCCTCCGGCAAAACTTTGTCGAATGCTTTGTATGACTCTGTATACTGCGTAGATGCTCCGGACGGCAAGAAGCTTACTGTTACAAGTACTGCTGCTAGGCACTGCCCAATGTGCAACAAGACTCGTCTTTGCCAAATGGGGTTCATCAAAGGTCACCATCATGAGGGGACCAAATTCTCTCCTCGCTTGGAACGGGGTTCAGGGGTTCTAGGGTTTAGGGCACCATTAGATTAATTCTGTAACATAGGGGAGCTATAAGGGACTACGATATGCTGTGTAGCAGGTTGGATAGGTTTGGAGAGCAACCATGATCGTGAGGGAGTTCCGGCTGCGAGGAAGCAACACCCGGAAACAGCTGGCTTGTCTGCGAGTTTAGGGCCTCAATAATTAATTAGATCAGGGTTTTTTAGGTATATTATGGTACAATTCTATTCTCCAAACTCTAAACCCTAAACCAGAACCCTATATTGGCAATTATTCAGGCTTCCACATTGCCGTCAGGTCTAAGCTCACTCTGAACGGCCTGGAACCAGCGGAAGCCAGAGGCATGGAAGAAGTAGCCGGCAATGAGGGACTGGCATATCTGACCCAGCTGCCTGATTGTACGGCTGAGGGGGGTAAGAATTAGGGTACTGTGCTAGAGTTATACTGTTGGGGAGTTATAGGCATCAGGGATTAGGTTGAAGTAAAGGGGAATCTGCGAGATTCTACACCCAGAACTGAGACCCTGAACCTTGTGCACAGTGATTTGTCGGAAGGGCAGAAAGTCGTCATGCTTGTCCCAAACCTTCCAAGATCCTCGAGGCGAAGCAATAAATCCTGTGCGACGACTACCGCTCCGATGACACCGAGCAAGTGTAGGGGTAAAGTCCGAAACCGAGGCTCATCATCTAGGTGTCCGCAGTATCCCGTTCAGTCTAAGTGACCTTGAAACTATCACTCTGTCTCAACATGGGGGCCGTGTTTCTTCGAAGAACGGCAGAGCGGAACTGAGGGACGTGGACATATATAGAAACTGCGCCGAGCAACGCGCGGGCGCGGTTGAATGATCTGAGAGACAGGTCGACTCTCTCGCAGAGCCAATCAAGCTCCTGGGCGAAACAGATCCCTACCCCTTTCTGAGGGATTGAGCGCTTGAGGGTGTGGGCCCGGAGGAGATTGCCGCAATCCCTCAATCGGTGTTCTGGCTTCGGAGGGCTTGTCTGGACGATACTTGGTGAGTCATGCCACCCTAAACCCGAAAGTACAGGGCAGGCAAGACTCGGGCACGTCGTTGGCCACTTTTTCAAGCAGACTTTGACACGTTGCTTCGAACCTGTCCAGAATAGAGCCATGCTGGCTCGCGTGCTGACCTTACTTCTTCCCAAGGAAACAACAGCCTCGCCTTGGAGACTCATGCGAACTTACTTGGAGGTTCATGGGTAGCTATAAGTGGGGTTATATAAGTAGGGGAACTATATTTATAACCCATATTAGGGGACTTATAACCCTACTTGTAACTACCCATGAACCTCCAAGTACAAGAAGTCAAAGTGTTCAAAGTCTGGTAGTCATTGGTGAGCTAAGTGACCTTCTACGTCAGCAACTGCCCTGCACATTGCTTGACCGACATCCTCGCAAATCTTGACCTGGGCCGGAAAGAACGTGTTTCAGGGGTTTAGGGTTTAGGGTTTAGGGTTTACGATGTGGGAGTTTCCGAAAATAAGGGGTACCTTATTTGGGGGTCCTTATAATAAGGATCCTACTATTTAGGGTACTATGCTGGGGTCCCCTATTTTCAGAAACCCCCATGTGTCGAGGTGTTGGGTGCAGAACTGGGGATTGATCATTACCCACAGGCAAGCCAAAATCCTGAACTAAGTAGTCGCAGCAGGGCCGCAAACGGTATGGGAACAGCGCGGATCGCCGAGAGAATCAATGACGCCTCGCGAGTCCTCACGAGCTCGAGTGAGTGTTGAGGGTTCAGGATTTAGAGTGTAGGGCTTGAAGTTCAGGGTTCAGGGTTTAGGGTTTAAGGCTTGGGGCGCTGTGCTTGGAAGCACTTTGTTCGGGTTCTGGGATAGGAAACCTAACCACCAAACTAAAAGACACCATAGGGCTAGTGGATTTTGTTATTCAACCTTTGCTTTTTCTTCAAGCAGCTGCTTGTCCTTTACCTGACGGGGCACCAAACCCTAAACCCGTACGAAGTACATGCAAACCAGCTCTATGAACAAAATCAAGAAGGTAGGGTTCAGGGTTTAGGGTTTAGGGTTTAGGATTTAGGATTTAGGGACAAAATCAAGAAGGACGCCGAGGGTCTGCACACTCTGGTGGTACTCGCTTCGCCGGAACAAGTCTTGCCTTGCTTCATGTGATACTTAAAGGCTCATGGGACTTAGTTGCTAAGGTTATACATAAGGTAACTAATACTTATAATTACTTATAGCCCCAATTAAGGTACTTAAAAGGCTCATGGGACTTAGTAGCTAGGGTTATACATAAGGTAACTACAGTAATACTTATCACTACTTATAGCCCCAATTAAGGTACTTATAACTGTACTTACTAAGTCCCAAGAACCTCCAAGTAGTCACCCCGACATTGCTCTTCCTCTCTACAACCGCGAAGCCTGAGGGACAGGTGCTTCGCCGTAGTAGACCAAAGCCCATAGGTGCATAGCACCCCAAACTCTGCAACCCTGATCCCAAAGCCCTAAAAAGGCGTAAATATGGGTAGTTCTCCAACTTCGGTCTCCTTTTAGATCCCCCAAATAGAGAGGCACCCTTAAAAAAGACCCCCCAAAAAAGGGACCCTAAATTAGAGAACTACCCATAGAGGGTTGCCTGTGCACTGAACTGAGCTTGATATGATATAATCGCTTGCTTTCGAAGAGGGTGTGACAGGATGAACCAACACAGCAACTGCTTAGACTCAGAAACACTGTCACTTTAGGTTTTAAGGTTTTTAACCTTCAGCCAGCTTGAAACTTGCAAGCCTACCTGCTTTGCTTTAAGAATCGGCACAAACTTGAAAAGTACTTGTCCATCACGACTCTGAATATTCAAGCAGGACTACAGGCTACAAGGATCCCCAACCGGAAACACGGGACCTCCAGGCCCAAAAAAGAAGAGATTCGAGTTTAGGGCCTACATATAGTCTCCTTTGTAGTTTCGTTTTGGGGTTCCCTTATAGGATCCTAAATATAAAACTGGTTTAACCCAAAAAAAAGAACTACAATGGAGACTATAGGTAGGGTTTAGGATTTACAGTAGAAGCCCAGAAGTTGGAAACCCAATGGCCTCAATCCTTCGGAGTACGATATAGGGAATCCCAACACTAATCGTCCTTAGTCTGGCTTCCACCTTTTTTGGGGTTCACTATAGAGGGTCCAGCCGAGGAGCCAGATGAGGTACTGACTCTGAAAGTCATTCTTCATGCAGTCGATGAGATCATACACAAACCTTTGCCCGGATACAAAAGCTTGGCGTCCACCTCCAGGGGCAAAACAAGCAGGGTATATAGGAGCTTCTTCGTCCCAACATGCCGAATCTTCCAGGTGTTCGTAAGGAGCTATAGGGGTTTAGAACAGGTTTTCAAAGCGGTTATTGAAGGGATATTGAAGGGTTATTGGGCCCATTCCAAGCATGCCGGCCTGTCTGCAGCGACTGCGAACTGTACGAGTCCTCCACAGTTTATTGAACAAAGATTGGGTTCTTGTTAAGGAGCTCATTTTAGGCTACCATAGCCGGGAAACAGTATGATCTATCCCTACAGTGGCAACTTAAACTACATACTTCTTTAACAAGCCCAAAGGGTCCAAGTATTAATATGGTAGCTACTTTGGGGCCCCAGAAGTATATACTATACTATAACTTGGACCCTTTGGGAAGAGCCCACTCAACAAGTCTTGGGTGGGTCGATGTGGCTTCCAGGCCCTGGTCTTCTAGCATGTGTGGTTCCTGCACTTGACACCTCCAAACCCTACAGTAGACCTGTACACCTAAGCCCTAGATCATAATACAGGGGCCTTAAAAAGTTAGAATAGGGTTCTGGGGCCCATTATACTAGAGTTATAAGAAGGAGCCCCCAAAATAGTATAGGTAATTCTTCAGGCCCCTGTAGTAAGACCACAAACCGTAGCCCCTCAAGGCATGGTCTCAGAAGACACGAGGTCTCCATGCAGCCCTGCCCTAAACCCTAAACCCTAAACCCTAAACCCTAAACCCTAAACCCTAAACCCTAAACCCTAAACCCTAAACCCTAAACCCTAAACCCGCAATCCTGCAAGCCGCTGAGGATCAACTCCTCCGCTCGCTCTCCCATGGGAGCTGCGGTAAAATACAAGGCGCCGCTGAAGCAAACGCGCGACTAAATGGGGACTCTGACCTCTGAGCCATCGGGTGATATAATATAAGAGAGAATAGAATGCGAGCAGTCTATCTATCTATCTATCTATCTATCTATCTATCTATATGTATATCTAGTTACAGATACATATACACATACAACTAACATCATTGTTATTGCAATTGTGATCAGTGTTATTGTTGCGCTTATTGTTACTCTTGTTCTTCTTGCGACTAGTAGTAACCACAGTACTAATGATGAATGCCAATAGCGCATTTTTTACAACGCAAAGCAGGATGCCATGAGGCTCAGGCGGCTTCCAATTAGCCAGGCTGAGCGATAGGCTTAGGGTCTCGAGTGATGGATGAGATGTAATGAGATACTTGCTTGGCTTACTTGTTTTCATGGTAGGATCCTGACACAAGAAGAGAAGAACGAAGAAACTGCAATGCAGGATCCTGGTATAGTTGCTTCGAATTCTGGTTGCCAGGTTCATTAGTGTGCAGCGTGACTGTTACGACGATGCTACATATTGCCCTAAACCCTTAACCCCTAAACCCTAAAACCCTAAACCCGAATATTTTGTGCAGGTACTGCCTCCTGCGGCTAGGTGTTTTTGCTGCACGGGCTTCCTGTTGAGGGCTGGCGAGTTCAGGGTGCCATGCGACCGGCTGGAATGAAAATCAATGTAGGGTTTGGAGTTCAGGGTTTGTATAATGTAGGGGCCTTCATAATTAGAATAGGGCTTTGGGGTATATTATACCATAATTACAATAAGGA